CATCTTGGTTGGTTGGTCGGGTCATCGGACACATCCTCAATGATGATGGTGGCCAAGTTTGGTTAAATTTGTCTCATTTTTTTCAGGCGAAGACATTTATAAAAGATCACAAAAATTTACGAAAAATTGTAAAATTTGACTTTAAAGGGCAATAACTCCGTATGGGGTCAATTTACCATTTTGGTCTTGTTGACTTATTTGTAGATCGTACTTTGCTGAACATTATTGCTGTTTACAAATTATATCTATCTATAATTATATTCAAGATAATAACCAAACTACAACAAAATTTCCTTAAAATTACTAATTTAGGGGCAGCAACCTAACAACAGAAAACATTTACATATTCAGATTCTCAAATATGGAACAGTTTACCAAATGAAATAAAAATGAGTAATACACTTGTATCTTTTAAAACAAAATGTTACAAATTTTTATCAATTGTGCAAATTAATATACTTTTTCATTATTATCTAGATACAATTGTATATTGTGTATAATATATCATTTTAATACTGTATGTACTTTTAAATAATGTTATTATTATTTTGAGGACTCTCAGAAAGATTAGTTTTAACTAATGGGATCATCCTCTTGAAATAAAGATTATTTATTTATTAATTTACAAGTATTATCGTTTATATAGATATACAATGTTGATTTCCATTGCTTTATGGATCTTATATATTTTTTATCTTATAGCTTTAGTGAATTAAGTATACATTTGCTGTTTCATTAAACAAAGTAGAGCTAAACTATGTTAAAAGCTCATAATTATCAGGTTAAAATCTTTTTTTTTTAATTTTTTTTTTTTAATTGATTTCATTTTTTGTTCAAGATTTACGAAAGTCAACAATTTAAGGTGATCTCCAACTTATATTATAGTTTATCAGATATTTTTTCCTTTAATAACCAGGTCCAATTTGAATGGTTCATCAATAAAGCGCAATAAACAGATTTTTACTCTAATATGGGCCATCATTTTACTATGCTTAATATATTTAGAAAGAAAAATACTAAAAATCTGCAAGTTTGTCGGTATTGTCTAGGATGAATAATTAAATGATTTTATATTTAAAAAAGAGAGTAAACGAAGAACAGATTCTGTCTTTTTCAACCTTAAATGTTTATTCGTCCAGGGAAATTTGATCAACTGTTAATCATAATGTTAAAGATTTGGAGAAGCTACATTTTTTGTATTTGTATGGAATTCAAAAATGACTGCATTGTTAAAAACAAAAACAAAAACTCATCAGGCACCATGTTTATAATTTTGCGCGTCATACCCGCTTTTCGTCTGGAAATAAGACAAATCAAATTGGTAATATGCCAAATAAATTATCAAGCTAAAGAGCATGGCGGACCCATAATTCGGAAAGGTTTTGTCAAATACAGCCAAGGTGAACTGCTATTCCTCTCTAGTGACAATGTTTCTTTCTGGACACACATCAGAACACACCAGAACACTCTAGGCGCATAATTTGGATTTTGTTGTGCGATATAGTTTTAGGTAGCACTGGAGTATTTGCATTCCAGAATTTAGGTTGCTCTTTTGTGTACCCGACTTAAGTCAATGTAACTGAACAGTGTGATTGGAAAAAAAATACAGTATCAACTGAACATACTGAGGGATGAATTTTTGAGATTATTTTTTAATTTTGTATTCACTGCATGATAAAAGACCTAAAAGCATTATTGGACTTAGGTGTTAATATAAAAAAAAGTAAACGGTCATGATACATATTCAAATTCATTTCTGAATAGTATAATGAAAGTACTTCAGTTAACTGTTTATGTAGAATTTTTGGCAGTGTTAGAAAGTGGTGAAAATTCTAAAAAGGCTATCATTATCCCTTATGGGCCAGGAAATACTACCGTGCCCCCTTTAGAAAAGCTGTATGTTTTTCTAGTATGGCTTTATTAAGTTCCAATGTTGTAGTCATGTCTTATTTCAGTGTGGCATTCAAAATCGAAAACACTAATGTAGGATCCCAGTTGTGTTTAAATATGCGCGATATCTTATGAGGAAAGGCTTTCTTTGTGTATTTTTCATAGTTTTGTGTCAAACAGTGTCTAGTGGTGTTGGCCATCTTGAATTTGGATTGGCTACAAACTCAAAATGTGTAAACGCTATTTTAAGGGCAAGGTGAACTTACACTACAAACCAGTAAAAGTCTGAAATGGCCTATATCTGTACTCGACTGTACTGATTTTTACTTGACCAGTCTGAATTGGTCTGAAATTTACTTGATAATACTCGGCTGTAGTCTGAACCATACTTAACAGTCTGAACTTGTACTCGACCAGTACTTAACCATTTTATTTGCGTCTGAACCATGCTCGACCTAGTCTGAACCATGCACGACCTAGTCTGAACCATACTCGACCTAGTCTGAACCATACTCGACCAAGTCTTAACCAACCTAGACCTATTTTTTGTATCTATATATTGTATTTCATCAATTTAGGAACTGTTTTAACAGCTATTTTCCCTGGCTAGAAATTTGAACAACAATTTGAAATTAAAAATGTATTCAATATGGCATTGAAACCAAAATTTCACAATAAATATAATATAAATTATTTGGCCCTATTCCCTCAGTCACGGTCTATTGACTTTGAAACTTTTGCTTATTTTACATGTTTTAGCTTGTGATTAGTTTAGTTTAGGGGGAACCATTAGTGGTACATTTGTAGTTCAATGGTATTTGTTTTGCAGTTGTATAAGTTAACATATATATTAGTTTGTGATTAGATCAGTTTAAGATGAACTGCTAATGTTAGGTCAATAATATTTGGTATTTAAATTTATTGTCATTTGTATCATTAGCAAAGATTCAGTTAATTTAGACATTCGGACATTTTTTTTAAATTCCGTTTGTAAACAGGGAGTGGTTATTGAATATAAAATATTATTGTAGTATTAAACCAATTTTTAAGACGTTTCGGCCATTAGCCTTCTTCAGTTTCTTTATTTTTCTTCTCATCTACATGGCAGACATTTTTTTCTTTTTCAATCATTAAGATGATATAGATATAATAAATATAAAATAAACAAGTCATAACTTTTTGATGATGAAGAATTTAATCTATTAGAAAATGATTTCTTAATATTAAAAAATGAATTTCTAATATTACAAAATCATTTATTAATATTAGAAAATGAATTTCTAATATAAGAAAGTACTTTCGAATTTGTAATATAGAAAAAGGAATTTCTAATATTAGTAAATGATTTTTTAATATTAGAAATTTATTTTCTAATATTAGAAATTCATTTTCTAATATTAGAAATTCATTTTCTAATATTAGAAATACATTTTCTAATATTTGAAATTCATTTTCTAATATTAGAAATTAATTTTCTAATATTAAGAAATCATTTTCTAATATTAAAAATTCATTTTCTAATATTAGAAATTCATTTTCTAATATTAAAAAAAAGTGTTTTTCTTTTTTAATATTAGAAAATGATTTTCTTATATTAGAAAATGATTTTCTTATATTAGAAAATGATTTTTTAATATTAGAAAATGATTTTCTAATATAAGAAAATGATTTTGTAATATAAGAAAATGATTTTGTAATATAAGAAAATGTTTTACTAATATTAGAAAATAGCTCTTTTTGTCCACTTTGGCTTGCCATAAAGCTGTTTGTATTCCTTTAATCCAATAACTCTTTAATATAGTATTTTCAAGTAGTATTTACCCAAAATTATGGGGCAAGGCTTTATCACCCCCAATATAAGTTTATTAAAAAGGTGCAGATGTGTAACTGAATCAGATGCCATAGGCAGATGAAGGAGGGGGGGCTGGTTGCCCCACCCCAGCCCCCCCCCCCCCTTTTTTGTGTGAAAAATTTTGTTGATTATGTAGGGAATCACTGAAACATGACTGGAACGCCCCCCCCCCCCCCCACCCCACCCCTTTAGGTCAGTCAGTAGGCCCCCCTTACAAAAAGTTCTGGATCCGCCACTGAATGTACGCTTAAAATCTACAAATCATGCATACAGGCTGACTTCGAATTATTTTTCACAAATTTTTGAAAGATGGTTAATTTATCATAAATCAGGAACATAGAAAAACTGTTCTAGCACAAACGAAGGTCTATAAATTGATTAAGAAACATATTTTCTCCGGGTCACATTGGCTCCAAATGACTTAATGCTTTGTCAATAACATTGTTTATATGTTAACTTTGTTTAAATGTGTATACATGTTTTTGTTTAAATGTACTTTAATCAATGACTTTAATCTCTCTAATCATTCTACTGTGATTTATTTTGTAATTCATTTGATTGTAAAACTCAATTTTTGGGCACCTTGATTGGTTAATAAAATATCTTGTATCTTGTATCTTGTCATGGTTAAACAATTATAACAAATATCAAATCTAATATCTTCAAGCATTACAAAAAAAGTGTGGAAAACTGTAACTTGCCTGCTTTTTCTAAGTCTGAGGATCATAATTTTGCAAAAAAATCCACCGAAACGGAAAAACAAAATTGAATTGGATTTTCTATCTGTAACTTTTAACGCCGGAACGGACGGCAAATCTGTTTTCCGGAAAAATTGACACAGGGGAAAATGACTTTAGGACACTGGTACTTTTTCCCTCTAACCTGAGACTGCTTTAACTGTGTTATAGTAGTCTCAGCTCTAACAGAACATGGAACTTCGTGTTTTTTTCGCCTGAAAATATCAGGGGACACACATTTTTTTATTGAATATCCCACTCCGCCAATAAATTTTGCACGGTCCCTAACCATGCCTGTTTTAGATACTACTTACTAAAATGAGCAAAAGTAAAAGCTTATTTGGCGCTCGAGATTTGGCGGCATTTTCCTTTGATCTATTGTTTTTTCTCTTTGATCTTTACTATTTTGGCCAAATCTCACGCATTCGCTTCATGAAAAGGTGGCAGTACTGAATGAGCAAGTCATCTTTTTATAAGGGTCATATATGACTAAAGTATGTAATATAAATAATAAAATTTACCTTTTTAAGAATGACGCCTCAAAACTTTCCTACCTATCGATTCATTGATGGTTCACCCACTGTTTCTCACTAGACGATGAGATGGCTATCAAAACGAGACAGTTGTAAAAAGTTCAAAGTTCTTTATTTCCTATGACGGGCACCTGAAGGGGCACGATGACAACAATACATTCAAAGTAATAACACATATAAAACATGATAAACATATTATGTTGACTCTGGAGATGTGGAGGATAAAATTCAATTTTCTATTTCAATGTTTTAAATTTAGTGATGACGGCATCATCTATTTCAAGAAATAAGTAAAAGTTGCCCCAATTTTCTAAGTCTTAACTCAATGGCTTAAAAACACAGAAGATAAGTAAATTTTCACTGCTGCTGGTAAATTTATTTCTAAAAATTGTTAATGGTGTGGCTTTCTTGTCTGCTTCAGACACGAGGACGATTCACAGGCACTCGTCTCTGAAAAAAAATACCAACTTATATATACCTTAATATATAGGATTTTTTTTTCAGAGACGAGTGCGTGTGGGAGGACTGTGTGAATAACACAGCTCCTTGATCACTGTCCCCTGGTGTCTTTTGCAGTAGGGAAACCTACACTATTCTCAATACCTATTACTGCAGTAAATGTTATTTGATGTGAATAAATAGTTACCTTTATGTTTGTTTCTCTGCATCAGATACGAGGAGGTTTGTTAGAGATCTTAAGCTCACTTTCCTAGCACATCGTCCCTTGGTACCTGTTGCAGCTAAACAATCAAATATATATATATATATATAGATATATGCCACATCTCTGGAGTAGCAACCCTTACAAACTTTTTTTTTGAATTTAACATATAATAGTCTGTATCACTCTATATCAATATTTCAGGTGTATTATATGAATGTCATGTAAAATAGTGTTTATATGTTGTTAAGATTATATTTGTAATATGTGTATGCCCCCCTTGGGACCTAATTTGGAAATAAAATATCTTTATCTTATATGGAATTGTAATCAACCTGGGACATAATATATTGACGGGACTTGACACTCGACAATCGTATCGATTTCCTTGTCGCGTTAGTATAATAGTCCCAGAATAAACACACAACTATGATCAAGGCCGTATTAAAAAGATTGAATAAAAACCAGTAGAAAAATGTTTTGTATATCAAGAAATCGTTCCCTTGTCAGTTGATACAGAGGAAAGAACCGTTAGAAATTATAATTGACCTATCGGATAACCGATAGAAATGTCGCAATTTTGTATCAAACTTGCAGAATAGACCAAGGACGTATAACTAACACTTACATTTCATATAAACGTCCTTGAATAGACTAACCAGTGTTTCGTATCACTTATTCATGTTCAGTCATATCTCACTCCGTTCAAAACCAAACTTATACAGTTCCAATAAGTCCAAATTGAATCAACAATCCCTTCTTCCTCCTACTTCTCTGGCTCTGGAACAATTCACCATGTGTTATAGCAGTCTCAGTTTATACTGACATAGCTATGCGAAATTTAAGTTCTATCCATACTTAAAAGTCTTGGAAACAGAGATTTCGACAGAATCATAATATACATTTTATTTACTTTTCAAGTTTTAAATGATATAATATAAGATATACAGTATATCATAAATATTGTTTGTCATGAGAGATGTTAAATATTTCAATTCATTAAGTATGTATTTTTGATAATATTGATAAAAAAAAACTTAATTTGCAGTACATTTGACATAATTTCCGGTTTCCTGTTTTCGCAGATTTCATAATAAAAATCTCAATTTTATTATTTAAAATAGTTATTTCTGGTTGTGAACATTTTTCAGTTTCTGTACCTGAACAATCATGTTTGTTATTTCTAAGATAGAGTTACATTTGACAAATTCACCGATTTTCTATGTTTTTAATGATAAAAGTTTTTAACAATAATTTTTATAATGTTTCAAATAATTAATATTCAGATCTATCGCAACTCGCGATTTGAGCAGAACGAAATCAGAGATATAGGTTTGAATTAGATTGCAAATAGAATTATATTGTGATAAAAGATATTACTTCATCAATAACATAAATATTAAAATTTCCAAGTTTTCATTGATTTTTTAATTAAAAATGAGTGCACAACTGAAATGTCTCGCCTGTTTTACTTATCATTGAATTCATGCTGAAAGTCTGTAATATGAAGGTTTTACTACAAGTATCACATAACTAAACATTGACCAACGAACCATGAAAATGAGGTCAAGGTCATATGAACCCTGCCAGACAGACAATATACACCTTACATCATTCCATACACTAAATATAATTGCCCTATTGCTTTAAATATCTGAGAAAAATACCAAACCACAAAAACTAAAAATCGTCTTATGAACAATGAAAATGAGGTCAAGGTCAGATGAAACCTACAAGACAGACATGTACACCTGACAATAATTCTATACACCAACTATAGTGGCCCAATTGCTTGTAGTATCTGAGAAATAGACCAAAACACAAAAACTAAATATTGTCCAAAGAACCATGAAATTGATGTCAAGGTCAAATGAAATCTGACAGTCAGACATGTACACCTTACAATCATTCCATACACCAAATATAGTTGACATATTGCTTATAGTATCTGAGTTACGAACTTGACCACGTAACTTGAACCTTGATCACTGGTCCAAGGAATAAGGTCGAGGTCAGGTGAACCCTACCTGACGGACATGTAGACCTCGCAAGGAACCCATTTACCAAATACCAATGACTCAAAACAAGCGAGTATTTCACTTAACAAAAAAACTGTAAATTTTTTTTCTCAAGCAGTCACTGAACCGTGAAAACGAGGTCAAGGACAATGGACATATGACAGACGGAAACTTTGAAACATAAGGTATCTGCACACAAGATATGAAGCATCCAGGTCTTCTACCTTCCAAAATATAAATCTTTAAACAAATAGTTTACGCCGTCGCCACCGCCGCCGGATTATTATACCTATGTCTCGCATACTGCGATTTTCGTCGCAGGCTAGACAAAAACGACGATTTTAACCCAAACTCATCTATTTCCACATTTACATGTATTAAATTTGAGGACTTTTAAGACATTGTGTATAGGTTTATGGAACTTATGTAGTTCTGAATAACGTGTTAGTCCATATTCAATTAAATGTGTGAGTATGAATAAATTCGGTGGGCATAAATTTGGCAGCTAATGCCCCTTACTTTATATTTTACTTTATTGAAAAAGCACTGTACGCCCATATGGGCAATGGCTTACAAACATTATACATGATATACATTTATATGTATGCAATGAAAATAATGGTTTTTTTTTTGGTTTTTAGAATGTTGGAAAATTAAAACAACTTTTAATAGATTACGCTAAAAACATACGTTGGAATGCTAGGAGCTGTATGCATGGTAAAAAAAATAGCAAATAATTCTCCCTTGACTTGAGGACTGTGAAACATCGATGTTAATTATATATAGACTGTAATTGTTTCAACATCAATCATTACTGGAAGGTTGTTAACTTTCAGAAAAAGACCAGTTTTTCGTCCATCCTCGAAATTGAGGCTGTCGCAGGCAGCTCAAGAAGCTCTTTCGTCTGATTGTTTAGTTTGTTTCACCTTTTAAATAGTTTGTTTAAAAGGAGAAGTTAAATTCACGTCCGTCAAAATCGAATAACTGGTGTTTTGTTTTTATTTCTCAAAAAAAAAAAAAAAGACAACTTGACAAAAGTCCATGCTTACTATTCATCTTTTAAGAAATGAATGCCTGTAACATATATAATGATATTCTAATTGCTTATTTTTAAAAGTTGACTTTTTGTGGACCCCGCATGTTTCCGTAGATTTTACTTTTTCCAATGAATATTTCGTCTGTTGATGTATACTGTGATCGTTTTGTGTATATTTAAATATTTTTAGCCATGTTGAAAGACGTGCATAATGTCAAATAATAAAAATACAAATTGTTTAGTCTCTAAGAAAACTTGTAAGATTTCCACTGCTATTTTTTGTTAAAATTTTGGTACTGTGACGTTATACAATAAATAGCACATGAAGACACGATCTTGTGCCATGTGTAAATATCTTTTAAAGAATATCAAAACAGAAAAATAAAATAAATTTTTTGAGTCTTGCTTCGATTTTTACATTGGTGTATTGTCATTCAACCAAAGAAAAAAATGCAATCCTTAATACCTGATCATGGACAACAGTATAGTATGGTCGTGGTGATAATATTAAGCTAAAAGGACAGATAAAAAGGACATTTTATCATATATAAATGATATAACCGTTAAAATTTGGGAATGAAAAATCTTTTTTTTTTAAATATCTGGAGGTGGAATAATATTTCCAAAATATATCTCTATATACACTTGTGACAACATTAAGTTAAAGCATTGATTTTTGATGATGTATTTTGTATACTGTTGTTTGTCTTTTGATCTTTTTCTTTTTTTGACATGGCGTTGTCAGTTTATTTTCGACTTATTTTGAATGTCCTTGCAGTGATATCTTTCGCCTCTCCTTTGACCAATTAATGATCAAAGTATCCCCTTTCAACGGTAAAAGTTTCTTTTACAATGCAAATAGTTCATGCAATTAACTCTTTGATGTCTGGTAAAACGCTCAATATCGAACCAACTGAAAAATGTACACTTCATAATAAATGGCTATTGGAACACCACACTCAAGGAAAGGAAAACTGTACTGGAAAAGGAAAATTATACTGGAAAAAGGAAAAGGTCGTCCCATTTGTCATACATTTAATTCGATATAAAGACGGCGTGAGAAATTCTAATACATAGGTTAGTAGCAGACAAATTAACTGTCACTTTACGTGCCTTATTGTTAAACACATGGTCCACATAGACTCTGTAATTGTATTGAAATTGGTCCAAACTGTGCAGTTAAACAAAATGTACGCGGTATTTAAAAACCAAGAGTTTTTCATAACACATTTCAATATTGGAAAAAAAAAACATTTATATATCATATATCTTCATTCAAAATCAACTTTAACAGATGTGTCACGCTATTATTTCTATCCTCATTCTGTTTCTGTCACTCAACGTACGCAATGA